GTTATGTACAGTGTCAGGGGCGTGTCAAAATTGACTTTTTCAGGCAATGACAAAAATGCATGTTATACAGAGTGTTACTTCAATTTGTCAATTATGCCTAAACTTGAAAGGAAATATATACATACATACTACATAGCCTTGACTGAGTGACGAGGCACAGATAGCCTTTGCTCTCATGACCAAATTTAAACCGACATTTGTTCTCTCTTTCTCAGTATTTTAATTTGCATTGGAAGCAATAACAATTTTGATTTTGACGTACATAACATGGGCCTAAGGAAACTGAAAAAAAGCACCTGTATAATATTTCTTACAAACATATATTTTGGGATTTATAACCTAGAAATACCTACAATAAAATATTTCAAACGCGAAAGGTTAGTACAGCCTAGAAAATTATTGAATTTTATAATTAACAGACAACTATAAGCCTTTTCTTTTGTAAGCATGTCGCAAAAGAACAAAAAAATTAAACACTACTTTCAAGGGCAACTCTGGACAAAATGGAGATTTTGTTAGGATTTAATAAAATTTAAACTTGAAATTTCAAAAATGTATAAAATTCTTTGCAATTATAGATGAGAATATATTTTTTTTAAACAATTTTGAATAAAGTATACTATTTCGTGCCTTTTAACAGTAAAATAATGCATAGAAAAAGAACGTTTTTGTTACGAACAATGACGACATGAAATACGAATACTTAACGAAATCATTCGTTAACAGATAACTGCAAATTTCGTATATACTTTCAAAAATCGTTCACAATAGACGAATTTTTAGGCTTGGCAACCATGTGATTTGAGCTGCTTATTAGTTAAGCGATTTTAAAAAGGTTGGACTAAATAAGCCAGCAGTGTTGTTGTTTCATATGTTAAAAAAAACATATGAATAAAAAAACTCAACAAAAGAAATGAAATAAAAATAAAATAATTAAATGTTTATAAAATAATTAAAAAGTTCATATTAATTTGCTGACTACTCAAGTTTTAATATTTTATTTTAGAGTACAAAAAATATAAAATTATATATATTTCTAAAATTTGTTTAGTTAATTAGTTTGAAATTAAAAAACACGAGGAAAATAACAACTAAAAGTGTATTTTTTTGACATGAATGCTCCAATAAAACACTTGCTGTTTAATAATAACTTGGCATCACTGCCTAAACCAGTAAAACATATGAAAAGTAAGAAAATTTCAAACAAATTTGTGGTTGAATTTTATAAAAAAAAGTTTTTTAAATAAACATACATAAATAAAATTAATGACACATTTTAGTGTTCTTGCAATGGTCTAATAACTTTTTGCTTTTATTTTAAAGATTGAGTTTGTATTTATTGATCTATTGCATTATTAAATAAAATTAAACGGAATTTATAGTATAAATTCCTTAATAAGTAATAAACGGATGACTTGTCAGTCATTTTCACAAATTTTATTTAAAAAATATTACTTTTTTAATATGATTAAATTTACTCATTAACACTCGCAACAGTTGTAAATAATAAATAAAATCCTTTGTCATCTGACTGGAATTTTCGATTTTCATCCGAAATCATTTACAATAGACCAGTTTTTAGATTTGGCACCATTGTTGTGCAAGTGGCTTATTCGTTAAGCACTTTGACGAAATTTGGATTATTTTTGCGAATTTTGCTTTTGCTTTGCATGTTATTTTTTAAGCGACACATGTTCTATTGGAGTTTTCATGTCAAAAGAATACAGCTTATCTAGAACGGCATAGACATTCTTTTCAATCTAATAAAGATACTTTTTGAGGCAAGCCTATGCTGGAGGTACATACCTAAATCTTGGAGAGAAGTGGTATTTATACCCAAAAATGGTATGGTGATGCTAAATCGTATAGATCGATTAGTCTTTCATCTCTCCTACGGAAAACTATGGAAAGACTCATAGATTTCTGTATTCGTACAGAATTGTCTAAAAGTCATGTTAACAAGTTAAACATCCCTGCCTAATTTTGTTTTTGCTTTGCATGTTATTTTTGTATTTGATACAGTACTAAGGAAAATGAACTATAGGCCTGGATAAAATGTATAAATCAAAACATACATGAACTTATCTTATATCTACAGTGGTTTTGTAGTTTTCTTTTTGGCAGTCAAACTGTAGACAATTTATTTGAAAACTATCTTTTTATTTAATAATGTTCGGCATATTATATTGCAAGAGTTTAAGTTCGAGCAGTGTTTCAAAATAATTTATGCATATGTCCAAATAATGTCAATAAAAAGTGTTACCTATAGTCTTATTATCCTATATTCTATACCTTTTACACACAACAAAATAAGTTATTAATTTAAATAAATAATACAATTCATATACACATCAGTCCAAAATGAAATATTTTGATTATATTTATTTATTCTTCAAACAAATACGTATAAATTTACTTTTGATAAGTTATGAATTAATTTTCTTATCTTTTTTTCGAAATATTTGTTGATATAATTTAATTGTATTTCTTCATAGTGATTATTTATATTTTCCGTTACAATTGCATTATAAAAAACAACCCGAAACAAAATTTAAAACTATAATTTTTTTCAATAGGCTATTGTTTAAAAATAAATTAACAGTATAGTCCGCCTCCTTCATTTTTTTCAGTATAATAGGAACAATATGATTTTTGGCTTGGTGTCAATCCCAATGTATCTGCTTCAGCATTAAATTGAGCCAAACCACCTACACCAGCTAAGTATCCATTGAGTTTTGTGGCTACATAAGAAGTTAATAGCAATTTTGAATTCAAATTTAATGATTTTGTTAGATCCTTATGTCCTTGCAATCTGTATTTCTGATGATAATCTTCAGCTGGATAGAAAGTTTTTTTCTCACAAATCTTCGTTATCAAAACCTCTGGCGCACGCTTCTTTTTTTGTTCTTCTTTAGATGCTTCCGCAATACTTTTTTGTTCTTCGTCATGATATAAAATGAGTGATATATATTGTTGTTTCACTTTTGTAGTTAAACCATATTCATGATTATTCCAAAACAAATGTAAAAGTTGTTTGAATGATATAACATTTGGGTCATAATCGATTTCCAGTACTTCAGTATGATCACCAATATTACGGTATGTCGGTATATTTGTGGAACCACCAGCATACCCGACTGTAGTACGTAAAACACCTTTGGTGCCACCGTAAAGCGATTCTGCGCCCCAAAAACAACCCATACCGAACGTAGCTGTTTTTACTGTTGTATTTGTATTGTGTACAGGTGAAATTTTCAGCTCTTGCTGTTCAACCGCAACTTTTTTCAGATCTAAGTCACACATTTTAGTCTTACGAAACAAACTCAACATACGAACTGAAAGACTAGAAAGTAAAATTATAACTGGTTTAGATATAAGTAATACGCTTCATTTATATTAAACACTTAAAAGTACACAAACACTTCTTCATGTACGTATATACCTCATCGTTTTTGAGTCTTTTTTTGATTCTTTTTATTATTTCTAATGCGATTGAATTCTACTCCGAGATACAAAAACCAGCAAGTATCAAGTCTGAAATTATAATTCTTTTATTATTATTTGTTATTTATTAGGCAAACGATAATAAAATAAAATAAATATGCTAAATTTTATTGCAGTCACAGAATATTAAATTTAATAAAATTTGTTCGGATGCACACAAGCGGTACGTGGTATCGCACGAGGTCGCAATCAAACTAGGGCCGAAAAAGCTATACAGCGCTAAATTCACTTGCTAGACGATAAATCTATTCCGTCGCGCTCACTGCGCAGTAGTTGTAAATTCAAACATTCCAATTTTTGCATGGTAGCAATTCGTAAAACAGAGCCCAAAAAAGTTTAAATTCATAGGGCGCTTTATTTTTTCTAACCGCTACTGGGTTTGTTTTTACATTGCCTTATCTGACTCAAAAATTGAGATACGTACGTAAACTGAAATAAAAAGAGCTGGCCAATTATACGTACGTCACAGTATATATTTGAGTATATTTACATATAAAACTTCTCGAAGCTTAGTACGCATTCTTTCTTCCACGCTCTTCGTTTTGTAGAAAGCGAACAGAGAGACTGAGAGGAGACAGTCGTGTCCCAAAATAATCTATATCTACAGACAGATAATAGATAATTTTGTTTTTTTTTTTTTTCAAGTTTCTGCAGTACATATATTAGTACATATATCTAATGGCTAAAGAAATGCATTATATTTTTAATTTGACTTGACTTTATAATCATAGATTTGATTAAAAAATTTTTATATTTCACTATCCATATTTTATCATTGAAATGGAATACTTTTTTTTTTCTATGTTTAGTTCTATATATTATATATTAACAAAAAAATCATGTTGGGCTCCTCTCCTGCATAAAATGCAACTAAGTTCAAGGTTAAATTTTATGACGTAATTTTTTTTTTTGTTCGCAGAAATAAATGTGCACACGTTTTAGATAGTTTATAAGCTATTAAGTTTATATTTCTCTTAAATAAGTTTTAAATTTTTTTTATAACATTAAATGTCACAAGACTTCGTTTAAGTGCAACTAGAGGTGAATGAAATATTATCAGATTGTTGTTGAAATTAGTCATGTGAGATTCGTAGTGCAGAGTTGGCGCGTCCTGAGTTGCATTTTTTTTAAATAAATCTGATAGATTGTTTTAAAAAATTTAGGATTTCTTCTAGTATATCAATTCTTCAATCGGCAGCGATCGGCCGTAGGCCATAGTTAACCAACCAATCAAACCAGTCGTCGCCAATAGTGTGCTAAAATTTTTGTATATAAGATAGATTTTTCAATATAAATTTTAAATATTTTTAAACAGTGAAAACAGTAATACAATAAGTGAATTTAGTAAATGTTCGTATAAATAATTATTCCCCGCAATATGAATTCAAATCATTGAGTGTGAGTGCAATATGAATGGAACCAGTACCATTGAGTCAGGAGAGTTTAATATTAGAAAACAAAGAATTTAACATATAGTTCAACTGTAGAATATTTTCAACGATTTAGATGTGAATACTTAGTTAGTGGAGACAGCTATAGTAAAACAAAATAAGAAGAATAAGAAGAAAAAAGAAGAAGAATAAAAAGAGAAAAGAATAATAGAAAAGAATAATAGAAAAGAAGAAGAATAAGAAGAGTAAAGAAGAATAAGAAGAGAAAAGAAGAAGAAGAAGAAGAAGAAAAAAGAATAAGAAGAGAAAATTCGAAGAAATTAAGGAGGATCTAAAGAAGAAGAAGAACATAGATGTAGACGAGGAAATTATGAAAAGCAGTGTATTACAGAAAAGTTCAACACGTATTTTTCCTTCACTCAAACTCAACATATCAGATCCCAATTCCATAGAGTTGATGATGAAAGAATTCAAAGCCAAACGTCATTTAAATTCATTAATGAACTCCCTATTGTTTGCAGAAAAACAAGTGATAGCCCAGAAAATAAAATCAAGCAAATTCTTATTAAAGAATTTAGTAACCATCCTATACACAGCGAGTGGTGCAGAATATATTTGAAACAGAATATAAGTTTGACGACATTAAACTAAACTACAGTAAAAACAATTAGTTGAAAATTTTCAGGAGCCATTCTCATCTCATACCATGGCAATTACTTCCACGTCATCCATAATTCTACCTATTTAAATAACTTCTGCAGATGTGCCTTCATCAAATTCTTACACCGTTAAGTATTTTTTGGAAAATTATATTTGAATATACATAGTGTGCTTTTAGCTCGACACATCGACTCCAACGATCTTACAACATTTGAATACCTTCTAAATAATACGATTTATCAAGTCCTCCAAAATATATCTCAGTTTCCCATTCCACGTCATCATTTGATGCAAATCTCTTTTACTGAAGCCATCTGTTTAAGTTTGGAAACAGGTAATAATCACTGGGAGCCAAATCTAGAGAATACGGTGGGTGAGGAAGCAATTCGTATCGTAATTCATTTAAACGCCAAACTTCTATTAACGTGTGAGCGGATGTGTTATCGTGGGAAAACAAAATTTTTTCTTCGACAGTTTCGTAGTTTTTTCTCGATTTCCTCATTTAATCGATCTAATAATATGCAATAGTAGTCTGATGTTATTGCTTTTGCTTTTTTTTAATTAGTTAGTCTATGAAAATTATTTCACTTGAATCTCAAAATACGTAAGCCAAAACTTTTCCAGTCGATTGTTGTGTTCGAGGTCGTTTGCGAGCACTACCTCCGGACTCTATCATTAGATCAATATTTGATGCTCACAATCAGCTAGATTGTTTATTGATTGATAAAATATATATAGTCCAGCACTTGCAAAAGTGTATTATGGATTATTTAGAAGAATATATTGAAAAACCTGGCAAATTACTGTTAAATAGTAGGTGTAGTATCAAAAACTAGGTTTAACTTAAATTTCTTTAATCCATGAAAAATATTGTAGCCATACTTTGTAGATTATAGATAATAAAAATTATGTTCTAAACACCTTAACTTCATTTTGATAAATGGTTGCAAAATGTCATAGACATAATTCTGAGAGTCATCCAATACCTGGACAATATATAATTACATAAAACATCTTTTAACTATAAGAAAATAGTCTACATTCTATTTCTCGTTAAAAAAACGAGGTTGTTTTGTGAACACTTTATATACGAGAAGTTACTCTTGCGGAGTACTCGTACAGGATACTATGATGTTTATCATACTAATGTCAGATATATCAGTAGGTGGTATATATTATTAATCGTTTATAACTTAATATTTTGTTTATTTCTGAATCACCATTTAGAAAGAATATGTATTATTATTTACATCCATAATCCATAAATTACGTACTTTAAATGATTTTGTTATACATTCCAGCTGTTGATCTGTTTACTACAATCAAAGTTTAAATATCTTTAAATTTGTCGTTAGTTAATAAAAGACTTTAACTCTCTGATTAGTGTAAGTCTCACTGTTAGAAGATATGTTATAGTAATGAATAAAACAGATATTTGTCAGAGATAATTTTCTTTCTATTCACAATTCTAGTTTTTTAACTCTTTATTTTTGATTTTTATTTATTCACTGTTGAAGCAAATGATGCAACAAATCGTAGTAATGACAAATTTACTGATCAACTTGACGACTAAACAAAATTCTTGATTTAGTAGTAGTCATATGGAACGCTAATGGTCTATCAAAACATGCTATCGAAATAAAAGCATTTTTAAAATTAAACCAGGTCGACATAATGCTAGTATCAGAAACCCATTTCACGACGCGTAGTTTCTTTAAAATTCCGAACTACGAACTTTATCACACAATGCATCCCAGTGGTAAAGGAAATGGTGGCTCTGCGGTCCTCATAAGGAACTCGATAAAACATTATGAAGCAAAACCATATTGCAAGAATGAAATCCAGGCAACAAACATTGTAGTACAAACTAAAGAAGGCGACATGACTTTCTCATCACTCTACAGCCCACCGCGCCACAGTATCACGAAAGATATGTACATATCATTTTTTCAGCTGCTTGGACCTAGGTTCCTAGTAGGCGGAGATTTTAATGCTAAACACTTAAAATGGGGTTCCCGCCTAATATCTCCAAAAGGACGTCAACTCTTCGAAGCAATAAATGTACTCAACCTCCACACAATCTCAACAGGTGAACCCACATATTGGCCAACAGATAGAAAAAAAATACCTGACTTAATTGATTTTGCGGTATCAAAGGGGGTACGTATCGAAACAACTACCTGTAAGTCCAATTTCGACTTGTCATCTGACCACTCGCCAATAATAATCACTCTCAATGACTGCTGTGAAATTATGGAAAAATGTATTCTTCATAATAAAAACACTGACTGGAATAGTTACCGTCAACTAATTTCAATTGGTCTAAATACCGAAGTCAGGTTAAAAACTGAATCTGACGTAACTGAAGCAGTAGAGCATTTCAACTCTTGTGTCCAAATGTCTGCATGGGAATCAACTCCACCAGTTTCTAAAAGTGTTAAGCAAGATTATCCATTTAACATTAGATACCTGATTAAAGAAAAGCGTAGGATGAGAAAACATTGGCAACAGTTGAGATTCCCTGCGGATAAAACTCGCTTAAACAAACTGTGTAAACTCGTTAAAGCCCTTCTTTTAAAGTATAACAATAATCGCACGTCGCTATACCTTCAAAACCTAAGTGCTTCATGTGATACAAAATATTCCCTTTGGAAAGCCATAAAAAAGAACAACAGACCGATTGTCTATCCACCACCTATACGCAAAATCGACAACTCATGGGCAAAAAGCGATATTGAAAAAGCAGAAACATTTGCGTTACATTTGGACCAGGTCTTTAAATCAAATGATAACCAAAATATGCCTGATGTCATGAATCAAAGGATTAATTTTCTACAAGAGCCTTATCAATTGGAACTTCCAATTAAAAGATATACTATTAATGAAGTTAGAGATGTAATAACAAAGTTAAAAGTAAAAAAAGCTCCAGGATACGATTTAATCACAGGCATGGCTTTGCAGCAGCTCCCACCAAAAGGATTTGTATTTCTCACTCATCTATTTAACGCTGTGATAATAAGGGGGTTTATTCCGCCACAGTGGAAGATAGCACAAATCTCCATGATACCGAAACCAGGGAAAAGCCCAGAAGACGTCAAATCATATCGGCCAATAAGTCTACTTCCGATCCTGTCAAAAGTTATGGAAATCCTGTTTCTAAAGCGCCTTACTCCGTTTATCCAACAAAACAGACTCATACCTGACCATCAATTCGGCTTTCGCCAAAAACATAGCACAATAGAACAAATTCACAGACTTGTCAGACATATCCATAGTGCGATAGATGGTAAAAAATATTGCACTGCGGCATTTATAGATATTTCACAAGCTTTTGATCGAGTATGGCATGAGGGCCTCCTGTTCAAACTAAAACTGTATCTACCTCTAAATTTTTTCATATTTATAAAATCATACCTCTCGGCTAGGCACTTTTTCGTTAAGCATGGAAACGAAACTACAGTACTTCATGATATAGAAGCAGGAGTACCTCAAGGTAGCATAATGGGACCAATGCTTTATCTTTTATTTACTGCGGATCTTCCCCTTACCGATGAGAGTGTTATCGGTACATTTGCAGACGACACAGCTATTTTATCAGTTGACAGTGACCCAAT